CAATTTATTATCACATTTTTTTTTTTGAATTACGGTATTTGTATATCATAAAGGGTTTATTTAGTTTTTTTTCTCGAAAAAAAAGTTTCACTTTTAAAGGTTTAGGTAGGGTAAGCCCAAGACTGGATGAGCACCTGTGCCCATTTGTTTGAGCACCAGTGTTATGCATGCAAATTTGGACCAAATAGGGACCAGAAGTCCACTGATTATAACTGAACGGGACCTGATGCTGACGATAACAGTAGCAACATTTTTGTAAAAACGAATATTTTTTTGTGTAAAAAACGATTCGAAATCTATTCTCTATTGTATAAAACTAATAAAGAAAATAATCAATGGTAAAAATACTAACATTGGCTCTCACGTGGAGATCAATCTATCATACTGAAGGGAAACAAGTGTGCATATTTCATTTCCACTTTTTTCGCAGAGAGAGTGTTTTGGCAGTTGCTAATTTCATTTATATAGCAGCTTTAGAGACAAGTAAATGCACTAAAAGACTTCGTTACGTGGTACCAATTAATAAGCATGTATCAACTATGTTACACCTAAAATATCTATGATCACAGATATACCGACAACACAGGAGATCAGCACGTGGTAAGGTTAATGATATGCATGGGCTATTTTTAGATTACCTCACCAAGACGTTTTAACTCTGTCAGTAGATTTTAATATAACTTGATAACTCTGTCAGTAGATTTAAATATAACTTGATCATGCACTAATATTCTGCAAGATTCGGTCATGATCTTTTGGTTAGCAGGACCGCCCTTTGGAGACGGAATATACTACTACAGTAACCATTCTCTATTGCATAAAACTAATAAAGACAAAAACCAATTATAAAAGAAACTAACTTTTGCGTCTTGAAAACAGAATCAAGTAAAAATAGAAATCCTATTTATATAAACAAACTGGGATTACCGAAGTAACTAAAATAGCTTAGATTTCCGTAATATTACTTCGTCTGATTCCGCAGTATGACGGAATCGCCCGAATTGTCACGATTGCAATCGGAACTACCTCAGCTATTATCATTAATCAGAAGAGTGACGGAAAGGGCCGAAAAGTTGCTATTGGCACGATTGCAGCTGGTTTCCCGCTCAATCATGCAATCATGCACTAACAAATGTAAGCAGGAACAACTTTTCCAAAACAAACGGCTTGCCTGCAAGCCAACAAAATATTGCATACATTATGTAATATGAATGGAAGTTTAAGATAAAGAAATATATTGATTAAGCGAAATTTCACAGGTGGCAGTATCAGTGTTCCAACACCTCACCCCTATCTGCCCCTGGACCCCTACTACAACCCTGAAAAAAATTTAACACTTAAAGGCTTACTATAAGGTACCAAATACAAAACCACCGATAAAATTATTAAAAAAAAATTTCCACTATCAAAATTATAGTTATAGAAAGGTGAAAAGCCTACTATATGTTCATTTGCCAAACAATGTGAAACACAAGAAATCGTCGTTTTGGCGACTGAGGCACTTTCCGGCGGCATTTCACTGCATCATTCATTAACAGCAATAAAAAGAACTAGAATTCTACAGCTTACTTAATTCAAATTCCAACGAATATCAATATTCTATCGATTTTTTCTGTTTTAAGATATTTTTTGACTTGTCGCTGCCATTTTGGATGCTAATACCTGTGTGATATACGGATCTGATTGGGCGTCCAATTTGGCTCGTCCAATCGGATCACATATTACAACCCAGGTATCAGACTTTGTATTTGGTACCTTATAGTAAGCCTTAGAGTGTTGAACTATTTTTTTTTCATGGTTGTAGTAGGGGTCCAGGGGCAGATATGGATAGGGTGTCCAAACACTGATACTGCCACATGTGGTAGAATTTATGAAATATATATCATATCATTTATAAAAACAGCAGCAGTGGGCACTGTTTTATATCTTACACAAATGCATGTCTGTTATTCCAGTTAATAATGTGCAAAAAAAGTGCAGAGAATCTCTCTATACTGGAAGTCTGATATACTATGTTAAAATAATCAGACAAGATGAGTAAATTCTTTGAAATGCCCTGATATAAATATATTTAATGATCAACATTATTTTTTGTCCAATCACATTGTAGTATTTTTGAATTTTCAGCTAAGTCTAACTTTGGTTAATGTGTACTAACTAAATAAAATTTACTTAATCTGTCGTCTAACCAGTCTAACAAATTTCAATAATGCATTATATTAGGGAGGAGTTAGAGGTGTGATTTGCACTCTGAATTGTAAAATATCTAAGGTTATCAAAACAATGCCAACGAAAAAAACAATAAAGCGAGGTCAGGTGTTTCTAACTGTGAGGATACAATCAATTAATTTATTACATAGATAATACATGTTAGGCACGCAGAGACAAATGATTACATAAGAACTTTTTTATATCCTTTTAACTCTAAGAAAAATGTCTGTTATAAATTGCTGACTGTTTTAAACTTCTTCTTTTTTCTAGAAAATGTTACCTCTTTCAGTTGATAGGATTATGAACTGCATTAACAATCCTTGATATTAAGAATACAATGATTACATTTTTTGGCTGGAAAACTCATTACAGAAAAACTGTTTTTCAAATAGGATTTGAAATGTTAGTGAATAACTTAAAGCTAATAACGAATTTGTATAAATTATTAATCTAATGTATTTTCTCACATTTTCCATTTATTTATCAAGGATGTACACATTTCATTAACTCCATTGTTTTTCCTCGCTGTTTTTTCCCCCAGATATTTTATAGAAACATGATAGTCTTACTGTAGATAAAGGTATAAATTCTGTGACATTTTAGAAAAAAAATTTGCCTGATTATTTGTTGATAGGGCCATTTATTTAGCTTATCTAAATTTGACATGTTTGAAACTTGACAATGTGTAGACATCTTGTAGAGCGAAAGGGCGGAGCTATCGGTGATTTAGTGAAATGCCTTGTTTTTGGTTGAAAAAATAATGTTGATCATTAAATAGGTTAATGTTTAATAATATGCATTAACAAAAATAATTGGTCGCCTGCCTGCGGCAGGCTTGACCAATTATTTTTGTTAATACATATTATTAAACACTAACCTATACATAATATTGTTATTACAACAGGTAATATAGGTAACAAAGTTTTATAGAACTTGCTAAGGAACTATGTTATAACAGAGTGAGCAAATTTTTTAATTTATTTATTTATTTATTTTTATATGCCCGGAAGAATTTCGGACATTTTATGTTATACCCCCTGGCGTCCGTCCGGACGTCTGTCCGTCCGTCCGTTAGCAATTTGGTTTCCGGAGCATAACTTAAGTTCCATTTGGCCCACAATATTCAAACTTCATAGGATGACTGTCCATATTGGGTAGAAGACCCCTATTGATTTTGGGGTCAAAAGGTCAAAGGTCAAGGTCACTATGACCTTAAAACTGAAAACAGTTTCCGGAGCATAACTTAAGTTTCATTTGGCCTACAGTGTTCAAACTTCATAGGATGAGTGTCCATATTGGGTAGAAGACCCCTTTTGATTTCGGGGTCACAAGGTCAAAGGTCAAGGTCACTATGACCTTAGAACTGAAAACAGTTTCCGGAGCATAACTTAAGTTCCATTTGGCCCACAGTGTTCAAACTTCATACGGTGATTGTCCATATTGGGTAGAAGACCCCTATTGATTTTGGGGTCACAAGGTCAAAGGTCAAGGTCACTATTACCTTAGAACTGAAAACAGTTTCCGGAGCATAACTTAAGTTCTATTTGGCCCACAGTGTTCAAACTTCATAGGATGATTGTCCATATTGGGTAGAAGACCCCTATTGATTTTGGGGTCACAAGGTCAAAGGTCAAGGTCACTATTACTTAGAAATTGAAAACAGTTTCTTGAGCATAACTTAAGTTCCATTTAGCCCACAATATTCAAACTTCATAGGATGATTGTCCATATTGGGTAGAAGACCCCTATTGATTTTTGGGTCACAAGGTCAAGGTCACTATTACCTTAAAACTGAAAACAGTTTTCGGAACATAACTTAAGTATCATTTGGCCTACTGTGTTTAAACTTCATAGTATGAGTGTCCATATTGGGTAGAAGACCCCTAATGATTTTGGGGTCACAAGGTCAAAGGTCAAGGTCACTTTTACCTTAGAATTGAAAACAGTTTCTGGGACATAACTTAAAGTTCCATTTGGACCACAATATTGAAAGGAGGATTGTTATTTGAAGGAGGTAATACTTTATTTTACTCCCATGTCTTACAAATGCTTCATCTTTACTAAAAAGAAAAATCACTTTCGGGCATATAATGCTCCGCCTAGCGGTGCTCTTGTTTTTTTTTTGGTGTCCCGCAGTAATTGTCATAATCAGTTATATCAAGGTGAGTTGTTATGGTTATCATGACCAGCTTTATTTATTTAGATATATAATAGTACAGCTTTACTGAAATCTATGATCACTATTGGTAGTTCAGTAGTGTATTGCATTTATATATAAAAATATAAAAATTGAGTGATCGAACCTCAGGACACCATTGTGTGTAAAATTTCAGTGAACATCCGGGTTACAATTCCGAACCATCTTAAATTTCTCATCCACTTCAAGTCTCATCTGACGTAAATTTGAAACATTACCTTTATATTTTGGTCAATCCAGTTCTTAAAATAACCATCAGGTGTATCATTGTCCCGTGATGTGATAAATGACTAACTCTGTTAAAACGTGACTTTAATGTTTTAAACTTGTTTTTATGTGAAATTTTCTGTAATTTATACTAAATTTTCTTTCCTTTCTTTATTTATTTCTCATTGAAAAAAAAAAGATATTTGAAATATGTGATGTTTTTGAAAACATAATTATTATGAATCCGGTTTAGTATTCATTTATCTCAAGGAAAACATGTATATAATTATGTTTAAAGAATAATGGTTGAAAAGATTACAATATACATGATAATTTTAGATATTTGAGATCTCCGCAGGGTTAAGGTTTATCAGGCATGTGACAAGTTGCGCTTCCTGGTTGCGTTACCATGAATTAATACTACACTATACATAACCTTGTTGAACAATACATGTTGAAGGAAATGTAAAATTATTATTTTTGATAATGTTGGAATAATCTGTGTTGAAATGATATAGACTATACAGTGGGATATCAAATATCTGTCTATAGATTCTGTTTATAATATTTATAGTGGTAGGTAGGAAATGGATTATAACTTAGAACTGCAAGTTAATAACATAATGTGACATATTATACAAATAATACATGGAAAATAAATGTCATGGTAAAATAGGATTGTATTGAATGTAAGGTATAACACATGAATAACACATCATATTCAATGGCTCACTTAAGTCAATAATTGTTTTATTTTATGAATAGGCTAAGAATTAAAAAAAAACGAACAACACAAAAAGTACAACCTTATATACATCTACAAATTTTGCCTTGTTGAAGCGCGAGAAAAAAGACGCACGTGTTAGGCGTGCAACGACTATGCAAACGCTGCGCAAACAAAAGTAACTCAAGTTTATACTCATAATTGCGGTGTAGTCTTTAAGTATAATAGTAAAGTAATGATATTTCAATTGTGAAATATGCCATAAAGAACAAAAAGCAGCAATTATTTTTTAATTAATACGGGTTATTTAAACAGTCTATGGTGTATGGTTATTGAATATGAGTCTCAATCTATTTTTTGACTGGGAAAATCCAATTCAGCCAGTGAATACTACACCCAGTTAATATGATTTTATAAAAAGTTCTGTTGACTACAGTTTGGACCAATGAGATTGCATCTATATTTAGATCATATAATAAAATGTAATAGGCCTACATTATGCCTAGTCTGTGTAAATATGTAAAGAGGGCTTTTGTACTCTTGGAAACGTTGAACTATTTGACCATTATTGAAGGATATGAATAAGTTGTTTCTATTTAGCACATTAAATTTGTTATAATTATCAAAACACAGGTTAAGTTTGATAAATTAATTGTTACTGTCATTTCAATAATTTTTTTTACAATATAAATGTAAGATTGAAGGCCACATGCAGGAATATATCCTTTGATGTACATTACATAAGTTGGCTTAATGTTTTCTTATAACCCATACTTTTACAAGGTAGAAATAAATGTAGTGGTGAATCAGTGATACATTTGAACAAATCAACAATAAAAAACAATTGACAGTGTTTAATCACTGGCCTGTGTCAACGGTGTGTGTTCCGTTTATACAATAATGGACCGGACAGAAAGATAATCTTAAAAGATGTTGATAAAGCACAACTTTATATCCTTATGTTACTTTGATACTAAAGTACTTTAAAACATCTACATATTAATTTCATTGAAAGATAATGAAAATTGACCAAGTAAACAAATTAATTGACTCTAGAAGGGATGAGATAGCATCTGTTACTTTTTGTTGGCATGGATATATATCTATTTACAGGAAATAATAAAATGTCTCAGTGGAAATGGCTGATAGGCTGATTTCCGACACTTTTGGTACCTGCCTGAAGGAGGCTTGCCCATTAATCTTCAAAAACAGAGATTATTGACAACTAAGCTATTATAATTGTGTGCCAGGGGCGGAATGCCATTTCTTCAGCAATTATTTTTTCTATTTATGGTGGCTGCAGTAACAGCTATATGTGATCCATATATACATACTGGTTAAAGATGGCGTATGCTTTAATCTGAATGTTTCTGTTAGTTTTTGTCAAGCCCATTTGCTGAGTGAGCTCAACTTAGTCGCCACTGTGTTGTATTGTTGGGTGTATGTGCATCTGTGCAGCCATCCGGATTTGTCCCATGTATATCTTGCTCATTCTTTGAAGGATTACAAAACAGTTTGGTACAAAATTAATAAATGTTCACCTTGATGTATGGTGTGTCGCACACAAAACCCAGTTCCACTGCTCAATGGCCAAGGTCACACTTGGGTGAAGCGCAAACCCGTGTCTGGAGCATAACTTCTACATGTATGGATGGATTTAGATATAATTCAGGAAAAATATTCTCTATAGTGAGGTGGATGTCACACGAATAAATTCAGGTGTCTGTGACAAAGGTCAAGGTCACACATAAGGGTCAAGGTCATATAACAAAATAAAACATATATTGGCGAGTATAACTTCTACATACATGGATGGATTTTAAAGTAACTTGTTCGCCATGTTGAGTTAAGTTGTTTCTCGCAAAATGAAAGTCAAGGTCACAAGAGGTCAAAGATCAAATGAAAATATTAAAATTTGTTTGTTGGCGCAGTATCTTTCTTATGCTTTTAAATATTTTGCTTAGTGGCCAGAGGAATTTTAAATTGTTGAGCCTGCTTGTGGTGAGGTCAACTTAGTTGCCACTTTTCACTTTTGGCGGTTTGGTGTATGTGTGTCAGTTAGTCTGTGTGTCCATCTAGATTTGTCCGGGTTATATCTTGCTCATTCTTTGAAGGATTACCAAAAGGTTTGATACAAATGTTTTTTCTTTCATTCATTTTGCCCTGATTTTTCTTTCATTTAGCTTGCCCTGACTTTTCGTTTATAAGTTGAGAATTTCTAGCAAATGAACTTTAAATGCAGTGTTGACAATGATGTATAAATTATATTATGTTCTTTTAGTTTAAATTTCCTTGCAAGACACCCTGAGAGGAAAGTTTCCCATGTAAATGATAAGTTTATTATTCCCAAATGGTTTGTTTAAAAGGATTTAAGTCAACTTTCTCGAGTTTCCTGACTTTTTAAAGGCCATTTTAGAGAAGTTTTCCCCAGTGATTTACATGAAGTTATCAGTACAAATGTACGGAATTTAATTGTGTGAATTTTGTTGCCAGGCTTCTTAAATCTGTAAAATTTACTTTTCATATAATTTCTATCACTGGTAATAAACTGTGAATTAAACCACTTCACCACTAAATTTGTATTATTGGACTTGCCTGGCCTTTTAGTCTGGAATTGTTCATTATTATTTTAAGGGATTACATTATCAAAAACAAAAATTGATCAAATTGTATTAACATAAACAGTGTGATATTAATATTTAATGCTTAGGAATTTGTTCAAAATGCGATTTTAGTAAATTAAATTGGAGAATTTGCAGAAAATAACCAGAAATAATTGCTGTGTTCTAAAAGACAGCCAAACAGTATGCTTTAATTCTGGAATTGCCTATATTTTTAAAATGGTCATATTTTTAACGCACCATTCACCTGATAGGTGTTATATAGTTCATTAAGTGAATTTATAATGAAGGAAACTTATTCTGATAGGTGTTGAAACTACCTCAGAGAGGAACTGACCCAGTTTTAACATTGTATGATAAATATATACAGTATTTTTCTTTTACTATTTTCAGGCTGAGACATCCAACCAGGAATAGAAAATGTAGATTTACCAGCCAAGAAAAGCTTGAAGATACAGTTCTATTTATATAAACATCATTCCAGTCATTAAGAAGGTAAATTATGCTCCTATTTTTAGCTCATTTGAAGAGAGGTTAAGCATTTATGAATTATGTAAATACATGACCTGCTTGTCACTTCTTATATTTTTGAGCACATGCATTGTCTTAGTTTGCCTCTGAATTTACCATATTTTACAATAATTCATTTAAATAACAAGAAAATTGGTCACTTAAAGCAGCTTTCTCACAGCTTGAACATTTTTTTTTATATTGTATTATATTGATAATACTGCACATATGTAACATCACTTTTCATTGGATAATTGTGACACATTTTTGTAAACTTTATACACAGCTGCTAACACTTAATAGCTTAATTTCTTCATTTTACATCACTATTGATACAAAAGTCTGAGGTCATTATATCAATAGAAGAGACATATGTGACAAAAGTCTTTCATTGATATCAATAGAAAATCTGCCATTAATATTAATAGGAAAGTTTGGATTCAATATCTATAGAAGAGTGTGACATTAATTTCTGTAGAGGAGTGTGACATAAATATCTATAGAGGAGAGTGATATTAATATCTATAGAAGACATGTGACATTAATATCTATAGAAGAGTGTGACATTAATTTCTATAGAAGAATATGACATTAATATCTAAAAAAAGAGTGTGGCATTTATTTCTGTAGAGGAGTGTGACATTTATATATAAAAAAAGAGTGTGACATTTATTTCTGTAGAGGAGAGTGACATTTATATATAAAAAAGAAAGTGACATTTATTTCTGTAGAGGAGAGTGACATTTATATATAAAAAAGAGTGTGACATTAATTTCTGTAGAGGAGAGTGACATTTATATATAAAAAAGAGTGTGACATTAATTTCTGTAGAGGAGTGTGACATAATTTCTGTAGAGGAGTGTGACATGAATATCTATAGAGGACTCACATGTTACATTAATATCTAAAAAACAGAGTGGAGTGTGACATGATGATGAACTCTATAGAGGAGTGTGACATTAATTTCTATAGAAGAGTGTGACATTAATATCTAAAAAAAAGAGAGGAGTGTGACAAGAATATCTATAGAAGACTGTGACATTATTTATCTGTAGAAATGTATGATATCATTGCTATAGAAGAGTGTGACATTAATAGCAGTACAAGCTATTACCATTGATATGTTAAAAGCAAAATGTGACATTAACATCATTGGAAGAGGATTATATCATAAAAAGCAATTTGATACAAATGTATGACATAAATTACATTGCAAGATCAATAATTATATCAATATACCTGTTAGTGATTCAGTACATATTAGTCACAAAGTTGGAGCCAAGTAAATGTTACTCTATGTATTGTTAGTGATTCAGTGAGTAAAACTATCTTTGTCTGTACTTTAATATTTGAACTCACATGTTCATTATCTTATTGCCAGTATCCAAATGGCATGACTAAAATTAATTTGATGTTACAAATGAAGTATTTAGAGATTTCTGCCTGCAGGTCTTTGATGAATGGACCAACAAGAATATATGAATGTCAAGTATGAATATAGCTTTCATCAGTCTGTTTCCCATTCTTATCCAGAAAGTGGAGCAAATTAAAAGGATAAGTCTTGTCTTTATGACCTCATTATGTAGATTGACTTTCTTTAGGAAAGATACTGAGTGTTCTTAATTAAGTAAAATGGATATGTTGATCAGAGAGTTCAATGTACACTGGTACAACAGTTACTACACGTTGTATTTTCACCATTCGAATGTGGAGTGCCCTTGATACTAAGTATTATTGGTCCATTCTGCATATTTTACTAATATACAGTTTGTCTTCTGGTCTCTAGAACATAATATGAATGTTCTTAAGTAGAACCTATTTGAATATTTGTTAAGTAGAACACTTATGAGTGTTTGTGAGGAAGAACATATATGAGATTGTTAAGTAGAACATATATGAGTGTTTTGTTAAGAAGAGCATAAAATTATACAAGATTTTGTTAAGTAAAACTATATAAGTATTTATGTAGTAAGATATGAGTGTTAAGTAGAACATATATAAGTATGAGCACTTAGTGTTTTTGTGAAGAACAATTATATGAGTGTTTGATGAGTTGAACATAAATGAAGGTTTATGGTAAGTAGCACCTATGCAAGTTTTTGTGTAAGTATTGTAGCTAGCTGTTTTCCAGTAGAACATTATGTGAGCGTTTATTAAGTAGAACATAATTATGTGAGTGTTTGTTAAGTAGAACATATATATGAAGGTTTGTAAAGTAGGAAATTATATGAGTGTTTGTTAGGTAGAACATATGAGTGTTTGTTAAAAGGAACACATTTAAGTTTTTGTTTTAATAGTAAAACATATATGAGTTATTTGTAAAGTAGAACATAATATGAGTGTTAAGTGGAATGTTCTATGAGTGTTCCTTAATTAGACTATGTATGATTGTGTTAAATTAAACATACATGAGTGTTTGTTGAAATAGTTCAGATATTAGTGTTGGAGAAATGCTTGTTGAAGAAGGAAAAAAGTGTTATTTCATATTCAGTCAATATGTTGTTTTATAAACACTTTTCTTTCAATAACTAACTAATAATGTTATTGATAATAAGTTGAACTGAAAAAAATTCAGATGAAAGAGTAGAAAGAATTTAGTTTTATATTGCGTTATTGGCAGGTTCCAGAGGGAAGGATATTCCGATCCGAACTGCAACATTTGACATATATTTTCTTGCATATTCTACCATATTCTATTATACTTTAGATTCTTCACCTTATTAAAACCATTTTCCATGAAAATTTATGTCATTACACCTATAAATATTTTCTTACAACAGCGTATAAAATTACAACTTCATTCATAACGGTAATTTAGAATTAGGTCATCTTGTATTCTTAATCAGCATGCACTCATCTGGCACCCCCTATGCCAGATGAAATTTCCGGCATGGGTAAAACTGACGGAAACACCAGTCTGATATGTAAGAAAGAAGCATTACATAGCCAGCCATCTGTTAGTACTTTTAAGTCACAAAATAACCTCTACCCACCTTTATTTTAATGTAACGCAGATGTTGGATCATTTGAAATTCAAGGGTATCCACCCCGATTAAATATTTAAGTTTGGCTTCAAATTGACTTCAGCTGTATTATTCAAATTTCAAAGGCTTTAAATGATTCAGAATTTGATTTTGAATTAAAATGAACTAGGAAGTTTCTTTTTGTACACCAATCATTCGGAGATGGTAATTATAGTGTTTGAATTTTAATATCTTTCCTATTTCACAATGTCACTGCTTAATATAATGGACTAGCTATTGCTTTGTGTTTGGAACTGTCCATTGTGAGCTTGAAGGGTTGGATTATAGTATTGAAGTGATTTAAAATTAACCAGGCAATAGTGGGTTAAAAAGGTATCATTTAAGTCTTCATAATGTTGACCACAAATGTAGTGTTTGATTCTTTTCAGAGTAACTTGGTGCATTAAAAGGGCCTTTCTTTCATATGTCTATAAACCAATCAACTTATCAATAAATAAAAGGTTTGTCCTTTGCCTGTTTTAATTTATAATATACAGTAGATAATATATGAAAGTGCATATTTGTCATCTTCCTTATACATGTAATACTAGTAGCACAGCTGTATGCAAGAAGTACCCTTATGCTCTTAAAAGAGATTTTATTACTTTAAACTCAACATAATAAACTTAAATTAACACTAAGGGTTTAATATAATATAGTATGGATAAAAAGTTGGTCTAACGCTATCGATGATATATTTAATATCTATAATATAATCTGTCAATTATATGTTTATTTGTATATAATTTGCACATATTATCTATAGACAAACAATGTAACATATTATCTCATTCATTTTTCATGATGATGCTAAATAGGAATATATAACTTGAAATAATGAGGTAATGCCCAGGCATCAGTTGGACTGCCATGAATTGTCTCCCTTTCTAACTGGTGACCTACCATTCCTATGAACATTTTGATTCAACAGGTCATTATAGAAGATCTTGCCTGTCTTACAACTACAGTCAGCAATATTCATTAGAAATAATTGTAATGTGACCTGAGATCTAAGGCAACACTGTTGACTGATTAAATTTATTATTATACGCCCAAAAACGAAGTTTGGGGGGGTATATAGGAGTCACCCGGTGGTCGGTCGGTCGGTCGGTCGGTCGGTCCAGACGTCCGTTGCATTTTCCTTGTCCGGAGCATAACTTGAAAACTAATGGTTGGAATTCAATATAACTACATACAATGGTCAAGCACATTGAGAGGAAGTGCAGTGCACAAGAACCATAACTCTATCTTGACTAATTACAGAGTTATTGCCCTTTGTTACTTTTCCTTGTCCGGGGCATAACTTGAAAACTACTGGTTGGAATTCAAAACAACTTCATACAATTGTCAAACACAATAAGGGGAAGTGCAGTGCACAAGAACCATAACTCTATCTAAAGTAATTACAGAGTTATTGCCCTTTGTTGCTTTTCCATTGCTTTTTTTTTTGTCCGTTGCATTTCCTTGTCCGTGGCATAACTTGAAGACTAATGGTTGGAATTCAATATAACTACATACAATGGTCAAGCACATTGAGAGGAAGTGCAGTGCGTAAGAAACATAACTCTATCTTGACTAATTACAGAGTTATTGCCCTTTGTTACTTTTCCTTGTCCGTGGCATAACTTGAAAACTACTGGTTGGAATTCAAAACAACTTCATACAATTGTCAAACACAATAAGGGGAAGTGCAGTGCACAAGAACCATAACTCTATCTAAAGTAATTACAGAGTTATTGCCCTTTGTTGCTTTTCCATTGCCTTCTTTTTTTTGTCTGTACCATAACTTGAAGACTTATGGTTGGAATTCAATATAACTTCATACAATGGTCAAGCACATTGAGAGGAAGTGCAGTGCATAAGAACCATAACTCTATCTAAAGTAATTACAGAGTTATTGCCCTTTATTACTTTTCCATTGCTTTCTTTTGTCCGGACCATAACTTGAAGACTAATTGTTGG